GAAGGTCCGGCGGGACGAGCGGCTGCACGAAGACGCAGAGCGCGCTGCCTTCCACGAGAAGCGCAAGCGGACCTTGACGGCCGCGTCGAGGCCCTCAAGAAGACCAAGCCGGCTATCGACCTCTTTGCGCCCGACGAGACCGCGCCGCCGCCAGTCGCCAGTACAAGAAGTACACAGACGAAGGCATCGCGCTCGGCGGTGCACGGAGCCCGGTCCACTACCAGATAGGCCGACGCAAGCCGCCCTCGCAACCCTGCCGTCCAGCAAAGCCAAGACGACAACTTGTACGCTCTTGGAGGGAAGGGTATACATACTCCAAATAAATTACGTGGCACGCTATTAGACGTGCACCTTGTGGAATCCGTGGTCCGAGTCGATTTCGTAAATGAAGAACGAGCCGCGCTCGGGCGACATAATCGTTGGCGGCCGCAGCTCGTCGTTCTCCAGTGCGTCGTCGTCGTTCCGTGCGCCGAACGGAAGGTCAACCACGGACTTGCCGCAGAGCGAGAGGCGGTAGCCGTCGTAGAACCGGTCGCGGGACGTCGTCCGAACGAAAGCGAGCAGCACGAGGCCGGCGAGACAGAGCGCCCAGAACACCCGGAGCGTGTCGCCGTCGACGCCGGCCTTGACGAGCGGCGCGACAAAGAGGAGGACCGTCGCCCAGATGCTCCAGGCGAACCCAAACATCGTGCCCATGTTGTAGACGCCGTACATGTCGGTGAGGAAGCACACGATGAGCGACGCCGCGGCGCCGCCGCAAAACTTGGTCACGTAGATCATCGCCGGTACCGTGCTGTAAAAGTCACTCGCGCAGATCGGCAGCGCCACCACGGGCAGCAGCAGCACGGCGACGAACGTCACCTTGCGCGCAAAGGCGGGGTTGGCGTAGAAGACACAAATGACCGCGTCCGAGACCATCGGGACGCCCAACCGGCCGGCGAACCCGAGCAGTGCGCCGTGGAGCTTGAGCGAGGCGGCGTCCGCGATCGCATAGTCGTTGGCCCACGACGCGCCCGGCGCCGCCAGCGGGATGTACGGCAAATTCAGCGCCGAGAGCGCGACGTACGCCATGCAGAGACACACAAAGTCGGTCGAGAAGACGCACTGCATGAGTGTGAGCGCCTTGACTTGCTCGTGGTACTGCCGCGTCGTGACCTCTGCATCCGCCGTGCCCGACTCGTTCGAGTGGCGGCGAATCGCGTCGAAATTGACCAGCGTCATGCCCACCTTGAGGAACTCGTCGTGGATGACGTCGGCCTTGACTGCGCAGTCGACCGGGATCCCGTGCATGTCGTGGCCACGGACAAAAAAGTCGGGCGGCGGCGTCCGGAGAAGGAGCGCGCAGAGGAAAGCAGCGGCAGCATGACCGCGAGCACGTACCAGTAGTAGTGCTGCAGCGGCACGCCAGCGTCCTCGAGCGTCTCGAAATACCACGTCCAGAGCGGCTGCCCGAGGCTAAAGCCGAGCGAGCAGAGGCCGCTGATGGTGCCGCGGAGGTCGGGCGCCCACTTTTGCGCCGTCGACATGGAGGACAAGAGCACGATGCCGAGACCGACGCTGGAAAAGAGCAGCCTACCATCGGTCCGGATAAGAAATGAGAGTGATGATGTACGATCCATAATACCCCACGTGCATCATGGGCCAGAGGCGCGCGAGCAGCGCGACTTCAAGCCCGAGGTAGCCAACGACGACAAACGACGTGCCGAGAAGCATGGACCAGCGAGGCCCGCGGCGCTCGAGGAGAGGTGTGAGAAAGGCGGCAATGATGCAGTAGGCGATGACGCCAACGACGAGCGACCGGAGCGCGCCAGGAATCGCGTCGGGGTCCTCGAAGAAGACGGCGGCAAAGGACTCGAAGACGACGACCGTCGCGTAGAGGATGCCGGCGCAGAGCTGCGCGAGGAAGCTTGCGATAAAGATGTAAAGCCGGTGGAAGCGCAGCACGAGCGGCGGGCGATTCGTCCGAGGCAACGCGAAGAGGTACCTCTCGGCGTGGACGACGTCCAGCGGCTTGGTCGGGAGGCTAATGCACCAGTAGGCCTGGAGCCATTCCATGGTTACTAGTCGGAAAGAACCGCAATGGCTCTTGGCTTGTCGCCATCCGGGACCTAGAGTGGGACGGTCCTCGGAGTCGTGTGGACGCGATTGGCCGACAAAAGAGACAGGGCGTGAGTCGCGCTTGAGCCACCACACGATGGACGATCGCCGGTGATCGCACAAGTTGGCACACTCATCCGAGCAAGTACTATTATTTGACTCGCTCTTTAATATTAGTCGCAAGATGGTGCGATGGCAAAGGCCGGAGACAAACAATCATATCTCGTGCACACTTGGAGCTCCTCGGATGCCCCACCTGGGTGATGCAGTCTCCGGTCGGAAATGAATCCACGATGCACCTTGCTCTGTAAACTTGCTTGGGACACAGTAATATCTGTGAAAACATTCTCACGGCTGCCCCTTGTAGTAATCAACGGCAACTATCCAATACAAGTTCCGCCACAACTATCCACTACAGCTATCCATGGCAACTATCCATGACAACTATCCACCAAAGCTATCCCTGCAGTGGTAACGATAGATACAATGGTTTGGTCGCTGGGCAAAATGGTCGCTGGGTATATCAGCGACGACGCCTAGACGGGCCACAACAGCAGCTTTCGATTACGAATGCACGACATTCGCAAGAGGTTGCCAGTTTAGACAGGCGATTGATTACCAGTCGCTCGAAACATCGGTGCGGTGCCAGACGCGTGGTCTACTGTAACGACGATATTAGTGCTCATCCAGACTCAATGGTACAGACGATGCGCACACTTTTCCTGCAGAATGGCGTTCGTACATGTAGTGTTCCGTCACGTCGTCTGAAATTCAGTCAGGTCGTCTGAAAATCAGTCAGGTCGACTGCCTTTGAACCACAACCACACATGCGTGGACTGGGCATCGCTTACTCCTGCTGAGTACTCGAGTACTAGTCCACACGCCCCCAGTAGATCCAAATGCGACAAGGCGAAGGATAAGGCGGACCGGACGCTATTACAGTAATACCATGCGAGGATTCCAGGTCGATGATGGTTTGGGTCAAGTCGCCAATGCTACTGCATCAGTATGCACGTTGCAAATTCAATAATTGAAAACTTCTGAGCACCATTGATAATGATTTCTTTCCTAGACATTTATGCTTGATTTATGCACGATGGCACAGAAGACGATTTGAATGTAGCCGCAACCTGGGGTGATTTATCTGGTTTGCGTCTCCACGCTGTCCACTCCACTTGCTTTTTGCGGACGTTTTCAGCCCAGCGCCTTCCGGCCCCAAGCTTCCATATCACGCTGCTCGCGGAACCAAGCGGTGCCACTTGACGATGTCTATTGCACGAAACCAGGCCACACTGCGCCTCGAGGAAGCCCCGACGAGCCGCAGCTTCCTGCTCACGCGCCCCATATACGTCACGTCGCACATCGCTGGGCAAAAACAGTTCTTGACAACACGGCTTTGGTCGTCGCGCTTGCGCTGGTCGTCGCAGCCGTCGCGCCAGTCGCTCTTCGTCACCGACGCGACGTTGTCGACACCCACGCACATCGTCTTGCGCAGCCAGTGTCGACTGCGCTGCATCGTGGAGCTACCTTGGCCCGACGTCGCTGGTTGCTGGCCCCGGAAAGACACCACTTGCGCGTTTGTTCTGACCCGCCGCACTCGCGCAGGGCTGCCCGCTGACATTTTTGAGACCCCCGAAGCATCGACGCATTCGCTTGTGCAGACAAGGTCTCGAGCTGCAAGTCGGTACGTGCTGCGTAGTATGGAGCGACCGAGCGACGCTGATGCGCGGTCGCACGACGGTTCGACATGGATTCCGCTGAGCCTCTTCTCGCCCCATCCGAGCCCCTTGCGCAATGATATCTACTAAGGGTGTTCGTGCATTTTTTGCCAAGGCGAGCTATAAACGCCAGAGCTACATGCCAGAGTTGAATGAAGCGTCCTATCCATTGATCGGCTCTAGTGGGTGCGCGATTCAGGAGAGAACTGCAATAAATCTCTGTCTCCACCTTGTCGCCACCTTGGATTTAGAAGGTTGGGCGCAATATATCTATAGCCATAGATCGATACAGCCGATTGGCTGAGCGCTCGTGGTTGATTCTAAATCAAAGAAAGAATAAGAGCTTATTGATTCTCGACGTGGATGTTGAGTAAAGCCCGCTAAAAAGCAAGAATGCTTGCATAGGGTTGTTGCACTGCGATAGCAGTAGCGTCCATCCAGTTGACAACTTCGTCGATACGACGACCTATCGTTCCCGCTGGCAAATTTGGTGGCAGCCCACAGACTCTCAGGGTCGTCTCAATCAAAAACCAATTCTCAAAATCGTCTCACACCCCGTGCCTTGACATTGTTTTGCCTATGAAGCGGGGACAAGGAGCCCGCGGTTGGAGGCATGCGTGTCGTCAAACCGAACAGGATAGATCTCACCACAGTACCATCGTGACGTGACGAACTCATTTGCGTATTTGCGCACACGGTTTCAAGACGCTTCCTATCGCAAGGCGCCGTACCGCAGGGACAGCGAACGCCCAGCGAACCGCCCATCTGTCTTTCCGCACAGAGTAGGACCCGTGCAAATACAGTGTACTGGGATGCTGACGGCGCCACAGCCAAAGGCCCATGCCGAGGAGAGAGACAGTATTGATAAGTGAGTTCGTGCCTGTCCAAGCTGCCACGTTCGACACGGCAACCAACAGGTGGCGCAGAACTTCTCGCCCGACGTGGAGCTTGGTGCGCCACTGTCTTGACGCAAACCCACAAGACTGCAGAGGGTCTACCGGTATTATACGTAGGGAAGACTGTAGGGTAGCCATCTTGATCCAACGCCATTTTGCTTTTTGCTTTTTGGACCCACCACATGCAAGCGCCCATTGTGCTCACGTGCGACGATGGCAAGGCCATGGTTGTCGCTACCGACAAGGCGTCGACCGTGTCCGTTGTCGAGTCGCGATTCCTTCTCGACGGCGCCGAGTACCTTTACATCGAGCCGATCGATGGCGCGCACGTGCACCTCGTCTCGATGCACCAGCGCAAGCGGTACCTCAGCGCGCAGCCGCTGCGGTCGGCGCTCGTCTGGTCGGCGCGCGCGTCGCCCAAATCCGTCTTCCGCATCGTGTCGGCGTCGCCAGAGACCTTTTGCCTCGAGAGCGTGCACTGGCCGCAGCAGTTTGTGCGCTGGAAGCGCGCGCACTCGAGCCGCGCGCTTGGCCACCTCGTCCTCAAGCGCCAGCGGAAACACGCGACAGCGTTTACAGCCATGGACGCTGCTCGGCGCGACCAGACGCTCCTCCGACGGCGGCACGAGACCACGTCGGCCCTCCCACCGTCTATGTCTGCGCGACTGCCTACGACACCGACTTGGCGAGCGCAGAGGAGGTCGATGCGCTCTGCGTGCTCGAGCCCATCGGGTGCTGGGACGCCGACGACTTGCCGGTGGCCTACCGTGCCGACTGGCAGGACGCCGCCGCGTGTCGAGCAAACTAATTCGTCCCCCGTTCTGTATTTATTCGGTTGAAAGATGATATATATAAAACCACATGTCGCATCAGATCGCTTGGTAGATGGACACTGTGGGCGGGTCAAGCGCCGGCAAGTTGCACTGGTCGACGTACGATCGTGTCCAGAGCAGCACGAGCAGAGCAAAGACGAGGGCCAGCAGCGGCGACAGCAGCACGATGCTGCTTATCGAGAAGAGGCCAATGCACGTCACGCGCAACGACGCTTCGAGGAGGAGTGCGACGCCCCAGACGCGGCAGACGCGCGCCGAGACCGCCTGGACCTCGGGATGGCGCCAGTAGGTAGCAAGCGACGCGCGCTTGGCGTCTGTGGAGCCGTAGAAGCCGCGCACGTAGTGCCACACGAGGTTCTCGCTCTCCGACTGGAGCGAGAGAAGAAAGCCGACGCCGATCGTCATGGTCGTGAACGAGTCCTTCACGAGGAGCACCTTGGGCTCGTTGGTGACGAAGAGGACAGCGAGCGCCAGCACCGTCGCCAGCACCTGCTACTTGAACAAGATAGCAGAGTTGATATGCCGCTGCCACGTACCAGGGCGGAGATCGGGTCGAGGCAGCGGAAGGCGACGATGTGGTACAGCGTTTCCAGCGCGGGTGGCAGCGCTGAGAGCAAGATCGCGTGCAGCTCCGTCGCGAACGGAATGCTTACGTAGTAGAGAAGGAGCGGCAGCACGAGGTTGATCAAGAGAAATTGCGCTGCGTTCTTGTGCGGCGGCGCGTCGGCCGTGGGCAGCAGCGGCGAGAACGACGTCAAGCTTCCTTGCATTGTCGACACTGGCAGGTTGTGCGAAAGACGCCAATCCTTCGACCATGGAAGACGCGAGGAACATTTGGCGGTGGCCAACGGCAACTCCCGACGCAACGCCACCGCTGTGCAGTACGCACTCCTCGGCTGCCACACTTCTCGCCATGCGCGGTGAGCTGCACGTGATTACGGTGAGAGTACCCGCGACGTTAGTCGCATGGCGTGATCTTGAAGGGGTGCGTGTATAGTTAGTCGCCGCGTCGACTAGAAATATCGTTTCGACTGGATCCGGATAATTGGTTTCTATCCGGCACCGCCCATTCCAGCTTGAGCTTCGCGACCGACGCACGATGGCCGACTTGATGCTCCAGAGCGAGTTCTCCAAGGACCCGAACAAGCCCTTTAGCAGCCGCGTCGACGACATCTCCGCGTCCTTCGACTCCATTCTGAAGGAATGCTCCGAGCTCTTCCTCCTCATGGAGAAGGCCGAGTACGCACCGACGGACCTCCTCCATCCACACTCATGGGATCGCATGTAGCCCGGCGACGCGCGAGGCTGGCGCCGAGGCCATCAAGAAGAAGATCGACGCCTTCAACTCGGTCTGCGACGAGCTGTACAAGGAGATCGTACGCTTCTTCTATGGCCATACTGGCGCTCATTCCGCGCGGGTCGGTAGATGCGCCGGAAGGAGAAGCTCGTCAACCACAACGAGAAGGGCATCACGCGGACCATCGACCTGCATCGGCAGATCCAAGCCGCAGGCAACCTCGCGCAGATGATTGGCGAGTTTCGCCACTTCCTGCACACGTCGACGCCGCCGCCCCACACGCAGCAGCAGCAGTAGCACAAGCCGTACGTACATGCTTTATTCGTCCATGCACCTTTACTTCAAGAGACCGATCAACGAGAGCACTGTCATGAGTACGCCGCTGGCGACGAGGAACGCGCCGCCGTACTGCAGCTTGGCGTTCACCTGGTTGACGCCGACTTGCCAGAGAAAGAGACCTGGCACAGCGAAGTTGAGGAGGATGTCGCCGACGGCGCCAACAAAGCCCATGATCATGCTCAGGTCCTTGCATGTAATCGCGAGCGCATAGGCGCTGACAAGCGATGCGATGGTCCAGAAGGTCCGCGTGTGGCGAGAGACATCCCCTTCGCCGACTGCGACGGCCTCGAGGACATGCAGAAAGGGCTGGAAGATGAGCGGGATCTTGAGCACCATGCACGTGCCGAGGACGATGCGCACGCTGTTGACCAGCGGGTCGTCGGACGCGAAGCCCGTGAGGATGTCCGGCACGATCGCGCCGTGAAAGCACACGTAGCCGAGGAAGCTAAAGCACACGTAGAGCACGCACCTAGACCACATTGATACACTGCATCCTGCTCGCCAAGAACAGTACCCGAAGAACATGGTGGTGAAGTTGATGGCGTGCATCTGCGCCTTGTGCTGGAGCTCGCCGTAGACGCGGACCGAGTTGATTTGGCAGCCAAAGGCCAGCGCTTGCAGCGGGATCGTGTACAGCACGCCGTCGACCGTGATGGCCGGCGCTGCGTCCGGGAGCCCGCCCGTCTGCACCGCGCGCACCAACAAGACGAGAAAGATGTAGCCCATGCAGCCGACGACGATCGAGTTGGAGTGGCGCAGCGCGTAGAGCGACTCGGCGAGGCAGAGCGGGATCGCGACGAGCGTAAAGACCGCGCCGATCACATACCGACTCACGTAGGCAGCGACAAACGGATGCAAAAGGTCCATGGCGACGACCATGAAGACCGCCATGATGCCAAAGAGCAGCACGAGCGTCAGAAGACGCACGAACCACTGGCGGCCGCGGCCAAAGAGCACGCTGCTCATGCCCTCGAACGAGTACTCGCCCGTCGCATCTGCGGTCACGATGCACGCGTAGCACGACACGAACGCAAAGCCGGCCATGACGAGGAAGAGGAGCGAGCACCCGACGACGCCGGTCATCGCCATCGTGCTCGGAAGCGCGAGCGCACCCGCGCCCATCATGGTACCGACGAGCGCAAAGGTCGACGTCCAGAAGGTTCCTTGCGGCAGCGGCGACGACACGCCATGCTCGTCACCGGCCTTGACCAGCAACGTGCTCTGCTCGCTTCGTGCCATTGGAATATGTTGACAAACGAGGTTGCCCTTTTGCATACACCGGGGTATGGCGCTGGAAAGGCCACGCACCCCGGGGCACGGTGGAGCTGCCTGTGTCTGGGCAAAACCGGATACAGACCTAATTAGGACTTGAAACGGGGTAAAACACCCTACGATTCGGTTTTACACCGAGGGTGTGGACTGGAGTGGGAGACGACGGCAAGTTGAAGTTGGTGAGGTCGCCAGAGCCAGAGCTGCCCGAGCCCCTTTTTTACTCCCTGTCACGAGTGTCCAGTCAACCAACGGCTGCGACCGGACTGGATTCCAGATTTCAGATCTGGCAGCGGATCTTGCTGGACGGGTTGTCGTCACACTTGGCTGTGGTGCCATCGCTCGACGCGTCGCTCAACGCTCGTCGAGACGACCCTTGGTGCCCCTGGTCTCTCGCACAGCCCCGAGTCACGACCACTTCCGCTCCTTGTTTGAAGCACCGGCCACGCCTCACGAGCGCAGTAGGAAGTCCAATATATCTGCATGAAGAACTCATGGAACAGCGGGTTGTCGTCACTGAGGCGACGTCCACATCGTCTCGACAACCGGTGCCACGGGCCGTCACCACTGGCACGAAGGCGTCATCATCACCAGCGGCACGCGGCTGCGAAGGAAGGTCACCGAAGGGCAGAGCTGCTGCTGGTGACGATGACCAAGAAGCTAGCAGCTGGAAGCACTCGGCAGAGAGGAGAGGAACTCCAAACGCCCACGGAGACGCGTGCAATCGGGTGACAGAGTCGAAGTGGAGCGGCTCCAAATGACCCGCACCAGCTCCACGACAAGCTTCTTCAGAGGCAAATCCCTCACACTTGATGAGCCAACTGTTGCAACCAATGACGTGGCAAAGGCTGGGACAACCACGAGAAAGCCAACGAAGACGCTTGGAGTCGGCGATCTCAACGTTTGCAGTTGCAATCTTGACAAGGCCGCCTTCGTGCCAGTGGTGGTGACGGCCACATCCTCCCAAGCCGACGATCTGCAAGGGCTACTACGTATAGTATGACTCCTTCGTATCCAGGTGGCAACGCCAACGAGCCCGCACGTCAACGGCATGCACGCTGTATTACGCAAGAGCGGTCGCCACGAGGCCGTAGATGGCGACGCCCGAGAGGCCGAGCCCGAGGAGCATCAACAGCACGGCTAAGATCTTGTAGAACGTCGTGCCCGGGAGCGCAAACGCCGGTCCTTGGGTCACTTCAAAGAGGAAAAATCCGGGCAGCACAAGCATAACGACGCTGCCGACGACCGCGCCAAACCAAAACAGCGTCAAGCCGAGGCCAGGGCTCAGCACGGCGAGGCCGCCGGCGAGGGCGAAGAATACCTACACAAACAACGCAGTTTCAGCGACGAGTCGACGCGGGAGTTGAGCCCGCACCAGCGTGGCCACCATGCGGAAGACGAGGCGCCCGACCGACTTGCGCTCGGCAAAGTACGTGTCTTCAAAGATATCGCGCAGCGGAAAGAACGTGCGGGGAATCGAGACGAGAAGCGCACTTGCGAGCACGACGCGCAGCACGTTGACGTCCCACGCATCGGACGCAAACGACGTGAGCACGTTGTCGGCCGGCGCACCGCTCGTCGCGAGGAACCCAAAGGTCGCGACCGCGTAGTAGACGCCGAGGCTAAAGACGACCACGAGAAGAGGCAGGTACCGCTGCGTCGTGAGGGCTTGCTGGCCGTCGCCGATCGCACCGTACGTGCGAAGCAGCTGGACATGGCCGAGGAAGCTCGAGAGCTGGATCGGGACGACGTAGCTCACGTCCATCCAGTTCGACGGCGCCTCATTCGATGGCCAGGACCCGCCGACCGAGTGCCCCGAGAGGCTCAGCGCGAGGTACAGCGCGCAGAGCACGATCTACAACACAGTCCATAGTCACTCGTCGTCCGTCACGCATCGTACCAAGTGGCGGGACCAGTGTAGAAAGTTGGGCACGACGTCGGGCAGACAGAGCGGAAACGGAACAAGGCAGAGCAGCGCACAGAGCGCGGGGCGCGAGAGGCCAACGAACGGCGCGACGAGGTCCGTGGCCACGAGGAGGTAGATGACAACCGTGCCGACCAGCGGCAGTAGCGTGATGGCGCGGATGAGCTGGCCATGGTGCGGCGAGCAGAGCCGCCTCGTGATGGCTTCATA